TACAAGAGGAGGCAGTTTAGGGTAGATATACACACTATTGGAGGATAGATGGCTAATGAAGCATAGGCAATGGGTCGAAGAGGTATGGTAGGTTTAAAATGTAGTGTTAGAGTGTTCAGACCAGAAGTTTGTGGTTACAGGAAAGTGGGTGGCAGGAGGGAAGAGGACGATGGTGTATATGATGTAAAGAGAGTAGTAAGGGAGAAAAAGTTAGCATATGAGAAGTTTTTAACAAAGTAGAAGTGATGCAGGAGGGAAGAGTATATGGAAAAAAGAGAGAAGTTAAGAGAGTGGTGAAGCAATGTAAAAAGAGAGCAATGAGAGAGTGGGTGAGATGTTATCAACAAATTTTGTTGAAAATAAAAAAAGTTTTGGAGTGAATTAACAAGTTAAGAAAGCCTAGCGAACAAATGGATTTGTCAGTTAAAAAATAGGAGAGAGAGTTATTAAAATGGAGAGTTAGAGGTATTGGGAAGATGAAGGAATATTTTGATTAATCTTTAATGTTGATGAAGATAGGGGAAGACTTTGATTTTCGTGTATAGGGCAAGGAGGAATAGTAACATCTTGTAGGAGTGAGGAAGAGTCGAGTTGTGAGTGGTGGGGAAGTTCCCCCGTGAGCAGTCGGTAAAATGCAAGGGGATAAGGCAGCCGGATGGATGGGATAAAGATAGAAATGTTATAAGCAGTGGATTATAGTTTTGGAGTGGTTGGTGCAATTATTTAATAAATGTAGGAAGAGGGAGTAAGGTACCTAGGATTGGCGAGAGGCATGCATAGTTCCCTTTGTAAATCAAGGCAAAGGGGATAATAGATCGTGCAAAATTATTGGGGGATAAGTCTGTTGAGTGTACCTGTAAAGGTATGGTAGAGTTATAATTGAAAGAATTAAGAGTAAGACATATCGTAGATAGCAATGAACAAGGGGAGGGGGCTTTAGGAAAGTGTTTAGGGGGTGTGGGACCAGGTGTTTACAGTGAAACAGATAGTGAACAGTAATTAGATTGGCTAAAGAGGTCCTTGTTGGGGGGGGGGGCCCCCCATTTATGGATTTGGAAAAGGGGCGTATGAACAGGGTGATAGGGGGCAAATGTGGCAGATGTTTGCAAGTGTATGGTGTAGGAGGTAGGTTACGAAAGCAAGTGAAGAGTTGTATACGAGGATAGTGAGGCCTCAAGTTAGAGTATGTAGGAAAGAGGGGATATTTTTTCCAAGAAAAGTAGGCCTTAGACAAGGAATGTGGGATGTCACTCCGTGGTTGTTATAATATATTTTATAGATGGGGTTGTAAGAGAAGTAAAATGCGAGGTCTTGCAATAGGCGTGGAGTTAAAAGATAAAGAATCACACACAAAGTGGGAGTTGTCACAGCTGCTCTTTGCTGATGACACTGTGCTCTTGGAGGAATCTGACGAGACGATGCGGAGATGGTGGATGAAATTTTGGTAGGTGTGCAAAGAAGAAAATTAAAGGAATACAGAAAGAGTAAGTTATGAGGATCCAAAAAGATTCTGTGGATGAAAGCATTGAATATCAGATTGGGGAGAGAGTCTGGAGGAGGTGAACGTATTCAGATATTTGGAGTGGACGTGTCAGCGATGGGTCAATGAAAGAAAGGTGAATCATAGAATTGATGAGGGAAACAGAGTGAGTGGTGCACTTATGAGTCTGTGGAGACAAGAGAAACTTTGTCCCTTGGAGGCAAAGAGGGGAAATGTATGAGGAGTATAGTTTTAACCAACGCACTTATATGGGTGTAGACGCGTGGTGATGACTTGATGCATCGAGGAGAAGGCTGGAGCAGTGGAGATGTCATGTCTGAGGGCAATGTATGGTGTGAATATAATGCAGAGAATTCGTAGTTTGAAGTATAGTGAGAGGTGCGGGATTACCAATACTGTTTGTCCAGAGGGCTGGAGTAAAGGGTGTGTTGAGGTGGTTCGGACATGTAGAGAAATGAAGCGAAACAGAATGACTTCAAGAGTGTATCAGTTCTGTAGTGGAAGAAGGCGGGGTAAGGGGTCGGCCTAGAAGGTTTGTTGGAGGAGGGGGTAAAGGAGTTTTTGTGTGCGAGGGGCATGGACTTCACGGCATGCGTGAGCGTGTTTGATTAGAGTGAATTGAGACAAATGGTTTTTATATACTTGACGTGCTGTTGAGTGGTGAGCAAAGTAACATTATGAAGGATTCAGGGACACCGGCAGGCCGGACTTGAGTCCTGAGAATGGAAGTACAGTGCCCTGCACTCTGAAGGAGGTGTGTTAATGTTGCAGTTTAAAAACTGTAGTGTAAAGCACCCTTCTGGCAAGACAGTGATGGAGTGAATGATGGTGAAAGTTTTTCTTTTCGGGCACCCTGCCTTGTGGGAAGCGAGGCCGGTGTGATAATAAAATAAATAATAAATAAATCATAAAAGTGTGTGTGTGTGTGTGTAAAAAGTATTCGCTGTATAATAAAGCTCGATCCAATATTAGAAAAAGTTATAATAAAAACTGGTTCTGCACATCTCTTATACCAAATTTCTTCTTTCAACACACCAGGCCGTATCCCACAAGGCAGGGTAAGCCCAATAAAGAAAAACGAAAGTTTCTTCTTTTAAATTTAGTAATATTTTTTTTTTTATTAACACACGGGCCGATTCCCACCCAAGGCAGGGTGGAGCCCAAAAAGAAAAACTTTCACCACATTCACTCCATCACTGTCTTGGCCATAAGGGAGCTATACTCACAGTTTGTTTATAACTGCAACATTAACATACCCCTCCTTCAGAGTGGCCGGCACTGTACTTCCCATCTCCAGGACTCAAGACCGGCCTGCCGTTTTCCCTGAACCCCTTCATCAATGTTACTTTGCATCACACTCCAACAGCACGTCAAGTTATTAAAAACCATTGTGTCTCCATTCACTCCTATCAAACACGGCTCACGCAGCCTGCTGGAAGTCCATGCCCTCGCACACAAAACCCCTTACCCCCTCCCTCCAACCTTTCCTAGGCCGACCCCTACCCCGCCTTCCTTCCACTACAGACTGATTTCCTTCCACTACAGACTGATACACTCTTGAAGTCATTCTGTTTCGCTCCATTCTCTCCACATGTCCGAACCAGCTCAACAACCCTTCCTCAGCCCTCTGGACAACAGTTTTGGTAATCCCGCACCTCCTCCTAACTTCCAAACTACGAATTCTCTGCATTATATTCACACCACACATTGCCCTCAGACATGACATCTCCACTGCCTCCAGCCTTCTCCTTGCTGCAACATTCATCACCCACGCTTCACACCCATATAAGAGCGTTGGTAAAACTATACTCTCATACATTCCCCTCTTTGCCTCCAAGGACAAAGTTCTGTCTCCACAGACTCCTAAGTGCACCACTCACTCTTTTTCCCTCATCAATTCTATGATTTACCTCATCCTTCATAGACCCATCCGCTGACACGTCCACTCCCAAATATCTGAATACATTCACCTCCTCCATACTCTCTCCCTCCAATCTGATATCCAATCTTTCATCACCTAATCTTTTTGTTATCCTTATAACCTTACTCTTTCCTGTATTCACCTTTAATTTTCTTCTTTTGCACACCCTACCAAATTCATCCACCAATCTCTGCAACTTCTCTTCAGAATCTCCCAAGAGCACAGTGTCATCAGCAAAGAGCAACTGTGACAACTCCCACTTTGTGTGTGATTCTTTATCTTTTAACTCCACGCCTCTTGCCAAGACCCTCGCATTTACTTCTCTTACAACCCCATCTATAAATATATTAAACAACCACGGTGACATCACACATCCTTGTCTAAGGCCTACTTTTACTGGGAAAAAATTTCCCTCTTTCCTACATACTCTAACTTGAGCCTCACTATCCTCGTAAAAACTCTTCACTGCTTTCAGTAACCTACCTCCTACACCATACACTTGCAACATCTGCCACATTGCCCCCCTATCCACCCTGTCATACGCCTTTTCCAAATCCATAAATGCCACAAAGACCTCTTTAGCCTTATCCAAATACTGTTCACTTACATGTTTCACTGTAAACACCTGGTCCACACACCCCCTACCTTTCCTAAAGCCTCCTTGTTCATCTGCTATCCTATTCTCCGTCTTACTCTTAATTCTTTCAATTATAACTCTACCATACACTTTACCAGGTATACTCAACAGACTTATTATTTTTATTATTTTTTATTATCACACTGGCCGATTCCCACCAAGGCAGGGTGGCCCGAAAAAGAAAAACTTTCACCATCATTCACTCCATCACTGTCTTGCCAGAAGGGTGCTTTACACTACAGTTTTTAAACTGCAACATTAACACCCTCATTCAATTTTTGCACTCTCTTTTATCCCCTTTGCCTTTATACTAAGAACTTATGCTGCTCTATTGCCTAATCCCTAGTTACCTTACCCTCTTCCATACATTTATTAAATAATTGCACCAACAACTCCAAAAACATATCCCCTCTCTGCTTTTATACATTTCTATCTTTATACCATCAATCCCTGCTGCATTAACACTTTCATTTTTACCTACTGCCTCACGAACTTCCCCCACACTCACATCTGGCTCTTCCTCACTCCTACAAGAGTTATTCCTCCTTGCCCTATACACGAATTCACAGCTTCCCTATCTTCATAAAAATTAACAATTCCTCAAAATATTCCCTCACATCTTCCCAATAACCTCTAACTCTCCAATTTAATACCTCTCTCACCTATTTTTAACTGACAAATCCTTTTTGTTCTCTTGGCTTTCTTAACTTGTTATCTCACTCCAAAAACCATTTCTTTTTTCAACAAAATTTTGTTTGATAAATCTCACCCACTCTCCTCATTTGCTCTCTTTTTTTTTACATTGCTTCCACCACTATCTTAACTCTCTTTAACTTCACCACTCTCTCTTTAGTAATATTATATACTGAAATTTAGACTGTATTAAAAACACAAAAGAAATTAAGCCTTTTAATTTTGAAAAATAGGCTATTAATTCAAACCTTTGATCAGCAATGTAGGCCTCTGCAGCCCCAAACTTTGTGTAAAAAGTTCACATGTGGATGTCAACTTCCTTAGGATCTACTCCATAGTAATCTACAACGCCACCACCATGTGGGCCAAGAGCACCTATGCTATGAGCTTCATCTACATACAAGTAAGTCTGAAATGGAGATTGGTAATTAAAGGGAAACATAGACACAATACAAATAATAAAATCCAGGTAAACATTTAAAAAGTTGAAATGAAAAATGAGCACTCAAAAACTATAAGATGACCAGTGACTGTGCTCCCCCTCCCTTCCTCCCTCCCTCATTTAGGCTATAGAGTACCTTGGTGTGTTGTCATTAACCCTTAAACTGTCCAAAAGTAGCTTTAACTTTTTTTACTTTGTTTCATTTGGAGAATATCAACGGTCGGAGGCGCTACGCACGCAAAACAGTTGATCTACGTTTTGGACAGTTTAAGGGTTAGATAACATTTGATAAGTAATATAAGAATTATCTCAATCAAATTGTTTTTAGTGTGATTATTATCATTTGTGTGGACGAAACTTATTTCTTGTATTTGTTTTTAATTCTGACAAAATTTGGAAGGTCACATATACTTCCTTCCATTGAAATAAATTCCCCTCCACAACAATCATCGTCCTTCTTCCTGGTGGGCGGCGGTTTTGGATGGCGTGTATCAAAGCATCGCCGCAGCTTCATCTCCAAATCTTCACTGTCATTGATGTACGAAATATCCTAGAAAATTATAGATAAATTTTTAGTAGCATTGAAAACAATTTGGTAACTGTCTTTCTTAATTTACATTTAGATAATAGGAAACTGGCAGGCTGGACTTAAAGAGTCCTGGAGGTGGGAAGTACAGTGCCTGCATTCTGAAGGAGGGGTGCATCTACGCTGAGTTTAATAACTGCAGCTAAGTGCAACTCTGGCAAGACAGCACGTGATGATGATGAAATGTTTCTTTCTTTTATGGAGTCACCCTGACGTGGGGGGAAAAACGGTCCCTGAAAATTTTAACTCTTTTCAAACCTTTAAGACAAAATGTGATAATTGAGCATACATTACATGGAGTGAAAACAATTCTTATAAATGACGGGTTGAGAGTCACAATATTGAAAGAATTAAAGTATTGTATAATGATAAGTGACTGAAAGTTTATATCACAAGTAAAAGGGTAAAATAGGAATTATAAAAGTATTACGTATATAAAAAACTAATAACTTTGTTACTTAGGTACTAATATATGACTGAGGAATGAATTTATGAGGGGACACTGAAACTGACTAAAAATATCGTATTTATTGAACGCAGAGATGTGGACTCAATGAACAGAAACTGGCTTGTTCTAACCAATTGGTATGTAAATTACCACTGGCTACTATTTAACCTTGTAAATAAATAGGTATTGTGATCAATATTGTATCTCTATAAATAGGTAATAAACAAGTTTTCATGAACGCACTTTGATTATGGTTTCCCTCACATTCCCAACTTCACCCCAACCTTGAATTCTGCTGGAGTTACAATTCCAGCAGCCCTTGTTTAACCAGCCTACATAATTTTCCAATCATATGTAGGCTTACCTTTGTCATTTTTAGTTTTTTGTTCTTTAATAATTTTAATTCATCCACAAAACAGGAACAGGTGTCCCCTACTTTATATAATGCATTCCCAGCAGGAGGGTAGTAAGTTGACAGAAGCACATGGTAAATTTTCAGAGGATCGAGAGTTCTCCATAATGGCAAACAATGTCTGTTCAAAATAACTTTTGGTCAAAAAGAGCCAGGACAAGTGCTATGACAATCGACAAGATTACTATGACAGTAGTGTTCTAAATCAGGAGCAAGGGGAACAACTAAGAGAATATGTAAGAAAATCTTGTCATGAGGGAGAAGAGTGACGACAAGTGGTCAGAACGATTGGAAACAGCAAAACTCAGGGAACTCTCCTGATTACAACCTCAAACCCTTTCCCAACTGGACCAACTTCTGGGCCAGTCCTACTCCCTGCATCAACCACAAAACACTGACCCTCCAAATCATTCACCTTTCCATTATACCCTCCCCATCACCTTCCCCTACCCTGTCCTTTAAACCTATCAATGAATCCCTCTCCCAGTAGGGAAGGAGGGGAGGGAGGGGAGGGTGGGGAGGGTGGGGAGGGTGGGTGGGAGGGGGAGGGAGGGGAGGGGAGGGCGATGGAGGGAGAGCGGAGAGAGGGAGGGAGGGAGAGGGGAGGACGAGAGGGAGTGGAGGGAGAGTGGGAGAGGGGGGAGGGATGAGGGAGGCGAGAGGGGGAGAGAGGAAGGGAGGGAGGAGGGAGGGAGGGAGGGAGGGAGGGAGGGCAGGGAGGGACGGGGAGGTAGGGGAGGGAGAAGAGAGAGGAGAGGGGAGAGGGTATAGCAGGGTTGAGGGAGAGATGGGAGAGAGGGGAGAGAGGGGAGAGAGGGAGAGTAGGGGGAGAGAGGGAGGGAGGGCCACATCAACCCCAGCTCAACCTCCTCAACTCCTGTTGGATGAGCATCTAAAGAGGGAGTACACATAAACCAGTGTATGCTAAGGAAAGTAGTATTAGTGGGAAATGGCTAGCATGTTAAAAAAGAAAAATCGTGACTTACTTTAACTGTAGCTCCAGAAAGGCGCAAGCCTAGAATAAGGGATGCATGGTTGAATTCATCTGACAATACCAAACAACCTGGGCCCAAAAGTGATGGTAAATTGAGAACATTGGTTGCAAAGCCCATGCCAAAGGTGATGGCATCTTTCAACTCCAGGAAATTCTGGGAAACGACTTCTCCAGTGGTCCCCCCCCCGCGCTCCGATCTCCAAGGTACCTGAAGGTTATAGATCTAATAAACAAGTAGTATTAGCTACTTATGGTAAATGCAAGACACAAAAGGATTTGGAACCACAGCTAAAATCTATTATTTATTTTGCATATGAGATCAAAGTGATGACATAACACAGCTTAGAAAGAGCTAGGTGCAGATACTGCAGTTATAATACATTATAGGATGGGCAAGTCCAAGTTCAATAGTATTTTTATTAATCTTAACACATATTTTATTACTCATTCTAGAAAAAACTATATATGAGCACTAGGAAACCTTGATTTAACAGACTAACTGGGGAAAAGGGGTGTCTGATAATGCAGACTGTATTGGTTACCCTCTAACCTTAAACTGTCCAAACGTAGATCTTCGTTCAAGTGCATAGACACTCCGACCTTATTTTTCTATTTGAACGCATGTAAAAAAAAGATGTATCTACATTTAGAGCCTGCCGAACATCAACGTTATCTGTGTGTGTCCAAATGTTAGGTTCTAACTTTTTTTCAACATCTGAAGTATGTAAAAAAAATCGTTTAGATCTTCTATTCTTTTTTTACATTTGGAAAACGTTGGTAAAAAACTTTGATCTACTTTTTTTTTTGTTATATTTGAAGGAGAAGTAAATGCGAGGTCTTGACATAGAGGCCACGTGGAGGTTAAAAGTATATAGAATCAACACATAAAGTGGGAGTTGTCACGTTGCTCTTTTGCTGATGCACTGTGCTCTTGGGAAGGTTTCTCGAAGAGGAAGTTGCAGAGATTGGTGATGATTTGGTAGGGTGTGCAAAAGAAGAAAATTAATAGTGAATACAGGAAAAGAGTAAGGTTATGAGGATAACAAAAAGATTTAGGTGATGAAGATTGGGATATCTGATTGGAGGGAGAGATGTATGGAGGAGGTGAATGTATTCAGATATTTGGGAATGGAAGTGTCAGCGGATGGGTCTATGAAAGATGAGGTGAATAATTAGAATTGATGAGGGGAAAAGTGGTGAGTGGTGAACTTAGGTGTCTGTGGTGACAAGACTTTGTCCTTGGAGGCAAAGAGGGGAATGTATGAGAGTATAGTTTTACCAACGCTCTTATATGGGTGTGAAGACATGGGTGATGAATGTTTGCAGCGAGGAGAAGGCTGGAGGGCAGTGGAATGATGTCATGTCTGAGGGCAATGTGTGGTGTGAATATAATGCAGAGGAATTCGTAGTTTGGATGTTAGGAGGAGGTGCGGGAATTCCAAATACTGTTGTCTGAGAGGGCTGAGGAAGGGTTGTTGAGGCTGGTTCGGACATGTAGAGAGAGAATGGAGCAAAAATCCGAATGCATTCAAGAGTGTATCAGGTCTGTAGGGAAGGAAGGCGGGGTTAGGGGTTCGGCCTAGGAAAGGTTGGAGGGAGGGGGGTAAAGGGAGGTTTTGTGTGCGAGGGGCTTGGCTTCCAGCAGGCGTGCGTGAGCCGTGTTTGATAGGAGTGAATGGAGGGGAATATGGTTTTTTTATTACTTGACGTGCTGTTGGAGTGTGAGCAAAGTAACTTTATGAAGGGGTTCAAGGGAAAACGGCAGGCCCCGAGAATTGAGTCCTGGAGATGGGAAGTACAGTTGCCTGCACTCTTGAAGGAGGGTGGGTGTTAATGTTGCAGTTTATAAAACTGTAGTGTTAAAGCACCCTTCTGGCAAGACCAGTGATGGAGTGAATGTGGTGAAAGTTTTTCTTTTTCGGGCCAACCCTGCCTTGGGGGATATGGCCATGTGATAAAAAAAAAAAAAAAAAAAAATAAAAATAAAAATGGAGATTATGTATCTACGTAGATCTACTTTTGGTGTGCATACGCATGTGAACGAAATTTGTTTGGACAGTAAGGTTTGTTAATTAATCACCAGCGTACATTATGGACAAGTGAAAACTGTGTTCTGATGTGTACTGAACCAAATATCTGTTGACTCAATAATGACACCTACAAGTATTTTTGACATCAGCAGAACCGTTTGGATCTCCTACATCTCTTCACGCCTCTGAAAAATTCTAAACTTAGGTGGGTCCACAAAGTGCACTGTGGGAAATGCTGAATAAACTAGCATAAGTAAACAATGAAAACAGGACTTGTTGCTCCACACACCAGCTTCCCTAACAGAAAAACAGGGGTGTGGAATGACAGTAGATACCTTATTCATTCCAATTTGTAATTTCATATTAACTCTTTCAGGGTCCAGAGGCCAAATTTTAAAGTGCTGCCACCAAGGGGTCCAAACGAATTTCCAAAAAAAAATTTTGTTTATTTTTTCTTTTTTTATGAAATGGGTAGAGGAATATTTTTTATGAAGGTAATAAAACAAGATAGTAGGAAATCTGATGGAAAATTGAACGAAATTATGATCTCGCAAATTTTGATTGTGCCATCGTATTACGAATCGGTGGTTTGACGACTTTGACTTCCAATTTTAGGCCAATTACGTTATTTCAGTTGACCAAATTCTTAGCTATTTACTAGCATTACTTTCTATTCTGTCGATTGAGCATAACAAACCGCCCAGTCAACCTGTTTAAAATACTAAATACAGTGATTGGAAACTTGGTAATTGGCAATTAAACACCATAGTTCAAATATTCCATTTCCACAAAGAGGGTCCAGAATAAACAATGCAGGCATCCTGGCACTAAACTAAACATTTCCCACTGTTCATTAGTTACTGTTTCAGGGCTTTACAAATGAAATTCCATTTTGAATTTTTATTCTCACTGATCTTTTATTTTCAAACCAAAAAAAGACAGGAGATTTACTGTTATGCAATATTGTATTAATGTTATAAATGTCATCACACATTTGTGAATGTATTATTTGACCCAACCAGCTGGCGTGTATTGACGTGTGAAAGATTGTTTGTTTACTCTTGAACATCGGCAAAAAGTTAACATTTCTGATTCTTTGAGCTCAGTTTCAAGCCATTTCTCGTACTAAAACCAATCATAAATCATCTCCATTTCTGTATTATATCTTCATTTATATCAAATGAGGCCAAGCTAATCAGCCCAAATAACAACTATTAAAAAACATACGAAAAAAAACACTGGCAAAGTCGGCTGTTTTTAAATCAGAAAATCATGGTCTCAGTTTTTTCTCTCATTATAACTGTGGGCTGCAGGATTTGTTTTATGTGGAAAACACATACCACATAGAATGTATTCTCTCATATCTAGGCCCCCCAAAAATTACCATCACAGCTTTTCAGAGTGCCTGAGTCATGGCGTAGATCTTCGGTTTGGGACCCTCAAATGTAAAGCCATAGATCTATGGCACTTGACCCTGGAAAGGGTTAACATTGGAATACAGTCAAAAAAGCACACACGTTAAATTAACCTTGATAACTTATGTTATCTAAACATGTAAATTATTTCCAGTTTACGATGAGTATTACACCTTGAAACAATTGCAATATAATAAGACTTCCTTGTAAATATACATTTTACAGTGGTCTTTGAAGACACACAGGTGTTATGGACACACAGAAATTGCATTATGTTTATATCATCTTCTTTCAACAAACTGGCTGTATCCCACCGAGGCAGGGTGGCCCAAAAACAAAAAATGAAAGTTTCTCCTTTTAACTTTAGTAACGTATATAGGAGAAGGGGTTACCAACTCCTTGCTCCCAGCATTTTAGTCTCCTCTTATGACATGCATGGCTTACAGAGGAAGAATTTTATTCCACTTTCCCATGGAGATAAGAGGAAATAAACATTAACAAGTACTAGTAAGAAAATAAAAGAAAACCCAGAGGAGTGTATATATACACTTGTACATGCATGTGTAGTGTGACGTACGTGTAAGTAGAAGTAGCAAAACGTACCTGAAATCTCACATGTTTATGAGACATAAATAGGACCCAGGGGGGCCCAGTCTCTTCCATCATTGTAAAACAATTACAGGTTTTCATTTTACACTCACTTGCACAGGATGGTATAGTAGCTCACTGGTTGGCTGCCCGTTACTAATCTACTACTTAGATAATGTTTATGTATAACACACATGATATTCATCAACCTAAACATATTACAATGCTCTATAATATCCCACATGGAGACAGAAAACTCGGATGATTAACTGATCTGTATATTTCAATCCACTTCTGGGATCCCTCTTCAAGCAGATACGTAAGTGATAGAAATGACATATTATAGGGAAGAATGAACCTCGCCCCTTACAAGAAGTGGCACGTTGGGGGGGATTTGTCCAAGTAGTGATGTGGAGGTAGAAGAAAACAGGGTCCTGTGGTGAAGCTTAAAATTTGGGTAGGAAGTTCCTTTGTGCTATGTGCTTCATAATCTTAAAGCTGGCAATTCTGTATTACGTTTGGCAATGCAATGTACTTCTTGAGCGGTGAATGAAATTTGATACAAACTTCTGGCTTCATTTGTCCCCTGTGAGAACAAAGAAATTGAGGACTGGTACGTATTGAAGGCAGATTCATGATTTTTTTGAGTTTGTAGTTGCATGTGTGATTGTGTATTTTAATAGTGGCAACTTTCACCAATGGACATATTGCGACCTGTTGTTGCCTGACATGCTGAAAATTTGCTGGATGACCCAGCTAGTTGTAGTATAATCAAAAAACTTATTTCTATGATTGATAAGTATTACACTTTGGAAACAATTGTAATTTTAAAGCACTCTTGTTACAGTGTGTAAGAAAAACCAATGCAGTACGAAAAAGAATAATAAACAATTTTGGGGGGGTCCAGGGGGGTGCTTTGCATTCCATATGTTTATGAAGTGCCTAAAACACATTGAAAAACACATCTAGTATGTAAGGAAACTAGTGTGTTTAGTGTTTTAAGTATAAAAACAATATATTTCTGAAGAACTCAATCATAATTTGCTTATTAAATAGAAAATTGTAAAAATCATGGCACATTATATGTCATCGTGCTGACAAATGATATTTTTTATAACTTTAACACACTATAATATTTAGTTTTTTTTATCAGTTCCCCTAATTTCAGTCTTATG